TCCTCGCCGGTGGAGGAGACCGCCGGCTGCCGGAATGCAGAAGACGCGGGCGCCGCGTCCTCGTTCGTTGCGCCGGCCGTGTCGAGCCGGCGGAGGCCGGGGAGGCCACGCTGCCGCAGCCCTTGGTGGCAGTCCGGGAAGCGTCGTGCCGCCTCGCTTGACGGAGCAGCCGCTCCCAGCATCGGCTGTTGGCCGCGCTTGAGCACGTCGGGATCTTGTAGGTGCCTATTATCGATCTTGTAGCACGTTGGGATCTTGTGTTGTGTTGGGTGGATGCTGTTGATCTTGTAGCATGAGTCTGATATTACCGTCTCTGGTTCTCCGCGATTTGTTTTTGATGAAGCGTGCTCAATTCTTCAGTTCGTGAATCGTTGATGCTCACACGCCTTTGTTGCATGGATGGATGGATGATTACTTTATTCGGTGATTTTTGTTTGACTGAAATTCAACAGAATTCGAGGTGAGATGAATAAATCAATTCCATTCCATCTCTCACACCAAACAACGAAACGTAACCATTCCATTCCTTCGAATTGTGTCTACCAAACACAAGGATGGAACTGACCCATTCTAGTGGAATGGAACCATAACATTCCATTACACTTTGTTCCCGAACCAAACACACCCTTGGTGTATGGTGAGATCTTGCATGTTGAGTTTGATGTATAATAAGTGGTGAAATCATGCATGTTGAGCTCTTTCGTGATATCTCGAGCAAAATATGAAATTAATGACATGAATGGTGGCATGCGGGAAACACCACATCGCATTTGAAGCATATATAGGCTATCCATCGATGGGCCAATGTCATTTTGAAAAGAATGAATAAGCTGAGTGGCGGGTTTTGCATCCCCCAATTGTCGCATTATGATGTGACAAATGTCAATTCTTGACCTAAACAATGGTGGCATGTTGGGTCATGAGTAGGTTCGCCTGAGGTAAGCCAGTTTCATAATCATGCATGAGGTAAGGAGTTGATCCTCTAACATTCAAAGGGAAGTCATGTAAGCTAGAGTAACCTGACTTCTCTTCACTCTTAGCCCATGAACAATGCTCATCTCAATTTTCAAAAGACTGGTTTCAATTTCTAAAAGATCAATTTCAGTTCGTGACATACCAATTGAAAATTTAGAAGACTCATTTCGAATATCATGAACTATGCACACATGCCTAAATTGGCGAAGCCTCTAGATTAACTATGGGCTTCTCGGTATTTCTGATGCTCGAAAGATGGATTGAAAATACAACATCGTATATGATGAGGACCTACATAGGTAAAAAAATTGCATAAAAAACTAAGAATCAAAGTCGCCGTGTTGTTTCTTATACTTTCAAACGTTCTCTTGTGACAATTGGCAAGTTTGTGACTACGTTCTAATTTTTACTTTATTTTAGATTTTTGATATTCAATACTTTTTCTAGAATATTCATTTTAAATGTCTCTTATTTTCTTAAAGCAATCTTAAAAAAAATATCCCCTTATCTTATTTTTATGTAAATCTTCATTTTAAGAACTTATATATTCATGTATATTTAGTTCTCTTGAAAAAATAATACCATACCTATCTTTTTATGGATCTCTTCTGAAAGGGCATTTCCCTACTTTATGTTTTGGATGATGATGACAACCCTTTGTTGGTCTAATTGTGTGCTATATATTTCAGGTTCTCGATGCTTAGGCTTACATCGGATTGCTATTGCCTCTCGTAGGGAAAGATCAAAGACGTGTCCTCTACATTTTTATTCTCTTTGGTCGTAGGGAACCCGTACTATCAAGAGGGAATCCTCATTAGAAAGCACTGGGGGAATCTTTTCACGTACACGTTCATCACCCCTCTTTGTCTTCCTCGGGTGTTAGAGAGTGAGAGTTTTTCCTTGTCTCTTTCCCTATCCTTCCTGCTCACTGTTTCTGCCCAGCGGTTGTACCGTTCTCTGGAGCGGTTGTATCGCTGGGTCTTGTCGCTCACCAGCTTTGCTCGAGCGGTTGTACCGCTGCCTCTGGGCGGTGGTACCGCCACCATGCTCTACAAATGCTGGGGCGGTGGTTCCGTCCATGCACCGCTCAAGTACCGCTCGCGCTTCTGTTTTGATGCGGTTCTTGGGCGGTAGTGGCCCGGTTGGTCCGGTCGTTTCACGATGACCGGTACCACCGGTGGTCCGAGCGGTTCTTCCGCTCGGAACTTAGCCGCCCAAGAGATCAAGGCCATGCGGTTGTTCCGGCCAGGCACCGCCCAAGTACCGGTCAAGCTCCTGTTTTGATGCGGTGGTTGTGCGGTGGCCAGGCGGTTAGTCCGGTTATTTTTCTTAACCGGTACTACTGCCCACCTGTCCGGTTGTACCGCTTGGTAGGATTCTGCAGATACACCGTGAGTCCCGGTTGTACCGAGACAAGGACCGGTTGTACCGCTCCAGTGCAAAAAATGCAGTAACGGTTGGAATTGAGGGCTACTATATAAGTGAGCTTCTCCCACCTACCACTCTTACCTTTTGACCTTTCTCACTCCATCATTAATGCACTTCAAGCTCTCTTGCCCGATCTCTCTCTCTAGCCACTCAAACTTGTTGATTTGCTAGGGATTGAAGGAGGAGACCTAGATCTACACTTCCACCAAAGGATATTTGCTCCCCCCCATACTTTCTTGTGTGGATTTTGTTACTCTTGGGTGTTTGAGCACCCTAGACGGTTGAGGTCACCTCGAAGCCATATTCCATTGTGGTGAAGCTTCGTGGTTTCGTTGGGAGCCTCCAATTAAGTTGTGGAGAGAGCCCCAACCTTGTTTGTAAAGGTTCGTCGCTGCCTTCAAGGGCACCAATAGTGGAATCACGGCATCTCGCATTGTGTGAGGGCATGAGGAGAATACGGTGACCCTAGTGGCTTCTTGGGGAGCATTGTGCCTCCACACCGCTCCAACGGAGACGTACTTCCTCTCAAAGGGAAGGAACTTCGGCAACACATCCTCGTCTCCACCGTCTCCACTCTTGGTTATCTCGTGCCTTTATTTGAGCAAACTTATTTGTTTCATATCACTTGCTTGCTTGTGTTCCTATCCTTATTGCATAATATAGGTTGCTCATCTAGTTGCATATCTAGACAACCTACTTTGATGCAAAGTTTAAATTGTTAAAGAAAAGCTAAAAATTGTTAGTTGCCTATTCACCCCCCCTCTAGTCAACCATATCGATCATTTCAATTGGTATCAGAGCCTCGTCTCTTTATGAAGGACTTTACCGTCCAAAGAGTACGGTTGATACCGTAGACGGTGTGAAGGAACACTCCGGTGTGAATCCGACCTCGTCTACGGGCGATGGGGGAACCTCGGTCTCTCATGAGGAGTTCAATGTGGCCTTGGAGACATTGAAAACCTCCATGACGACCGAAGTTGAAAGCATGTTTACTAAATTTCTTGAGGGGCTTAAACTATCCACCGCACCGTTGAAAGTGGGTGACCCCGCCGACAAGGTGACGGATGCTATCCCCGACGAGGGAGAAGCTAGTAGTGAAAAGGCTCCTTCTTCTAGTGGTAAGAATGGCACCGGCATCTTTGCCCATGTGGAACCACCACTTGTTTATGGTGGACCAGTTCCTTCCACTCATTTGAATCATGCCGGTCCTCCCCCTAAGATTGTGAAAAATGAGGACTTTGATTCTTGGGTTTACCGCTTTAAACGTCATTTAAATCATGTGAACACTAACCTTTGGAGAATCATTGAAGAAGGTTTCTATCCGCATGATCCAAGCAACTTCACTCCTCGAGAAGCCGCGGACAATCAATTCAATGAGAATGCTCTCTTCATCATTCAAGATGCAATTCCACCCGAAGACCTACCTCATCTTCGTCCCTTCGCCTTGGCCAAGATGCATGGCATTGTGTTGTCTCTCTCTACCCGGGAAGCGCAAGCATTCAACGCTCCAACTATGAAGTGGTACAAGATGAGGCCGATGAGTTTGCAATGAAAGAAGATGAAGAACCTCGTGAGCTTTATCGGAGAGTAACCAAACTCGCGGTCTCACTACGAGATCACGGGAGCAAGGACACAGATGACAATTGGATCAAGCGCAAATTCCTCAAGACAATGATGCCCTATCACAAGGCCATGTCCTCCGTCATTCGTCAAAGACCGGACTTCCACACTTTGACCTCAAGCGAAGTG